CTTGAAGCTTCGCAAAATCAACGAATGACTGTCTCTGTACTTAGACTAGCCTCCCACGCAGACGTCCCTAGGGGTTCGTCACGCGTTCCTGCCCCACGACGAACCCCTAAGAACGTCTGCTTGGGAGGCTATGCTTAAATAGTTGTATCTACCAACATTTGTAATTGAAAAGCATGCAAAAGTATGTTTTCCGTTGCAAATTGTAAATCGCAGAGCCGCGCGCAAATTATTCTAAATGATTGCGTCATAAACAAAGACACAAAAACGGATTTCTGCGGAATTTTTTTGCGTGGATTTTTTTGGAAGAATCACGAAAGAAAATTCAGGACCTTGAGAAAAACGTATGCAACCAGAAAAATCCGCCTCAGGTTAGTATATAAATATCTTTATAGTCAGGTGGCTAAAGGCTCAGATCTATACAGAGCGGACAAAAGCACCAAACTTTGCATGGTTGTAGCTTAGGGCATGTTGGTCAATATTAGGATCGGTGCCCACAGCTACCTCTTCAGGATTTGCAGCAACTGCTCGCTGAAGTTCTTCAACAACCTCCCATGATGGGTACCCTGTGCTGAAAATTGCAATCCCTTCTTGTTTGCCATTTTTTGATGAAAATCACGTAAAAAGGCAAGTAGATGGGAAAAGAAACTGTATTAATACTATTATTATTGAAATCAATGACTAAAACAAGTCAACTTAATGATATAGCAATTATGATATACCGTGGTGGGTGTCCTGTGCTAAAAATATCAATTCCTTGTTTTTTGCCATTATTTTGATTAAAATCACATGAAAGACATGAAAAGAAAAAAAAAAGGAAATTGTATTATTATTGAAACCAATGACAAAAACAAGTCAACTAAATGGAAAATCCAGGCAAGATGTTTTCAGACGCCTACTCAGTCCCAAATAGCCTTTCAAGATGGCGGCTTGAAGGTGTCTTTACATGAACTGTAACTATCCGCTAGAATAAATTGCCGTTTTTTTAGGGGAAATCGTGTACAATTTGAACGGCGACAGTTTGAAGATTATTTTGAAGATTATCGTTTTACCAACTCGGGAACTTATCAAAGATAAGAAAGTGTCTCACACAGGAGTCTAGTGAAATTACTGCGCATGCTTTCATTACGTCTAAAATAGACTATTAATTGCAATTCCTTACGCTGTGGTTGTAGGAAAATGCACTGGAAAAAAACTTTTAATAATATGGTCAGAACACTGCCCCCACTGGGATCGTTACTCGGACTCGTAAACTTTGTGAGCGCATCATTTATTTGACCTTCACTGGCTTCCTGTTAGTTATTATGTTGTTTTTAAACTTATTTTGTCAGTTTTCAAATCACTTAATAACCTTCCACCTAGCTATCTATCGGACAGACTTAGTTATCAAAGGCCTTCCAGGAACTTGTGGTCCGCATCTTAGCAGCTCTTAGAACAACCTCAAAAATTCACGGTGACAAGACTTTTTTAGTGTGCGCCCCTAAACTGTGGAACTCACTACCATTAACTAGATTTGCACAAGTCACCATCTTTAGCCAGTTGAAAGGCAGGACTGAGAACATATCTTTTTATGCAATTTTTAGAGAGTGAGTCAATATTTTTGTAAAATGTCTTTAATATCTGCAGATCATATACCTATACTTATAATATGTATATTCAATCAGTTTTTTGCATGACTTATCATCATTACATAATTATAAACTTTAACGGCAAAATGGTTTTAAAACTGATGAATTCTTGTTTCCTTTTCTTGTTCTTTGTGAATTGCAAATAGATTTTAAAATATGTATTATTTCATGCTCGAGATATAATTTTTTTTCCTTTTTAACCTTGTAAAGCACCATGTGCTCAGGATATGAGCACTATAGAAAGAAGCTATTTTTACTATTATTAACTTTTACCAGTACGAAAATAAACTCAGTATAGCCATTCATGATTAGCACAAAATGTGAAGAGAAAATGTGGCTTTCGATAACAAATTTATCACCAAGAAGAGCTTAAAACTTCACTTAAGCCTGTCGTGATTCAAGTTGTGCACAATTTCCCCTAAAAAACGGCAATTTATTCTAGTAGATACTTACAGTTCATGAAAAGACACCTTCAAGCCGCCATCTTGAAAGGCTATTTGGGACTGAGTAAGCGTCTGAAAACATCTTCCTTGGATTTTCCATTTAGTTGACTTGTTTGTCAATAATACAATTTCTTTTTTTCAATTTTCATGTCTTTCATGTGATTTTCATCAAAATAATGGCAAAAAACAAGGAATTGATATTTTTAGCACAGGGCACCCACCATGCTATTTCATAATTGCTATATCATTAAGTTGACTTGTTTTAGTCATTGGTTTCAATAGTTATAGTATTAATACAGTTTCTTTTTCCATCTGCTTGCCTTTTTATGTGATTTTCATCAAAAAATGTCAAACAACAAGGGATTGCAATTTTCAGCACAGGGCACCCATCATGGAAGGTTGTTGAAGAACTTCAGCGAGCAGTTGCTGCAAATCCTGAAGAGGTAGCTGTGGGCACCGATCCTAATATTGACTAACATGCCCCAAGCTACAACCATGCAAAGTTTGGTGCTTTTGTCCGCTCTGTATAGATCTCGTGAAAATTTTACACTAAGCCACCAGACTATTACTCACAGAATTAGATTCGCGAATCAAAAATGCAATTTTTTACACCAAGTCTATCAAAGGAATTGCCGTGAGAAATTCGCTGAACGCTTTGCATCATCGAGGAAAATTAATGACGAAAATAAAATTGAAGAGAACAAAATTCTCACTCGAGAGATGGAAAACGGTGTATGATTTGCCATTTAAAAAGATTTTTTTAAAAAAAGGAACATTTAAAAAACATGATATTTGTTTATTCACAACACCGAGGAGTCAAAAGTAAAAGCTTGGAAACGCAACGGATGGCGAAGGTAGCATACTGGGAATTGAACTACCTCGTTCTCAGGTTTCCCATTGCTGAGGCAAGACAGAGAACCCTGGGACGAGATTGGGAATTAATTCAATTAAACTGTCAATCAAAACATTGTCATCTCGCGCGAATTATTCTAAATGACGTCATAAAGGAAGATTCACAAACCGAATTCTTCGGCACCGTTTCGCGCAGTAAACGTTGCGTTAGAATTATAGGAAAAAATAATCACCACTTTCAGAACAGTATGGAACCAGGAAAGTCCAATTCAGGTTAGTAAGGATTAAGGGAACCCAATAGACTGATCCAAACATTCAATTTTATTTCATTTTTACCATGCAAGTGAAGAACGAGGTTCGCGTCAGAGTATGTTGAAAGTGGATGATCATCGATAGGCTTGTATCAAAAAAAAAAGAAAAGAAAAAGAATAAGCATGGCCAAACCGTCAAAAATTGGAAACGCAAGTCTCTGTTACGTATGATTTGTCACTTTGAAGAATTTCCCGTGAAGTAGACTAAAAAAATTATTTTGAATGGGCGGGGTAAAGATTCGGTAAAAACGTTTGTTTATGTCACAACAATAGCGCGAGCCATGGCAACGAGAGGTAGTGGAAGTCATAGCAACCATAACCTTCGTTCCCAGGGTTCTCAACCTCAGAGAGAGAACCCTGGGAAGGAGGTTAAGAACTATGACGTAATCATGCCCGCCCGTCGTTACTTTTGACCAGCGGTTAAGTAGCCAAGTGAACAGCCTCGTCCCTAGGCCTTTATTGCGTTCAAGTTGGTAAGACAAAGTTGGTGGTTGAAGCTTTGGGCTCTGGGGATGAGGGTGCGCGCGCGATGCCCCATAATGCACGTAAGAAAAAAAAACTGTTTTCTTCAAAGTTACGCGAGATTAACGA